AGAGAGAGAGAGAGAGAGAGAGAGAGAGAGAGAGAGAGAGAGAGAGAGAGAGAGAGAGAGAGAGAGAGAGAGAGAGAGAGAGCATCAAAGGTTTATGTAAAAGGTGAGGAAGAGGAGGGAGACGAGGGGGGAGCAGACGGGAAAAATGAGAGCGTACAAAGGAGGAGGATCCGGTAATGAATGAACATCGCCAGCAAATATGTCCAAGTTCAGGAGGAGAAGAAGATGGAGAATCGAGATAGTGAGTCCAACGCTACGTGCTCATTCCCCCCCAAAAAAAGATACATCAAAGAATGAACATCACCAGCAAATATGTCCAAGTTCAGGAGGAGGATCGGTGAATGGTTCTTTTTTATTTATTTAATTTTTGTCTTGCCTCAGAGTACACACCCGCGAAAGGAGAGAAGGGAACCAACTGGCGTAGCTCAGGGCGTACTCACACTTGCAGTATCTCAAACGTATATGACCGCATTCACGGCCATACCTGAATGTATCTGGCCGCAATTCCGTCCAAAAATGCGTAAAAAAGTTCTAGTGTGAGCGTTGGTACACCGTTGAGCTGTTGACATACAGACCTGAGTAAGAACTCCACTGAAAGCAGATGAAGGAGAAAAGCTCATATTTTTCTCTGTCTAGAAAAGGGGAGCAAATGAAGGAGAGAAGGGAGGAGCAGATGAAGGAGAAAAGGAAGGAGAGAAGGAAGGAGAGAAGGAAGGAGAGAAGGAAGGAGAGAAGGAAGGAGAAGGGAAGAGAGGGAAGGGAAAGAGGGGGGAAGAAGAGAAGAAGAAGAGGGTAGCACGGAAGGGAGGAGAAAAGAGGTATGATGTCCCTGACACAGTAAACCAACTCCCAGATATAATCAATCAACCGTGTGTCCCAATGAGTCGGGATCTCGGGGCAGCGAGATCGGCTATGGAGCCAGACGATCCGGGCAGCAAGACCCAGCCATCACCGAATGAAGGCACGGCCTTCTTTATTGTTTCTTTTTTTTTTCATTTTTTTTGGGACCAAGGCACGATTTAGCTGTCAGGCGGGGAAAAGAAAAGCGCGGGTAAATGAACGAAAACTGACCGAGGCTGCGTATTGCCAGTGACACGTGGCAGTCAGTGTGCTGAGCCAATCAATCAGTCAATCAGTCAATCAATCAATCAATCAATCAATCAGTCAATCAATCAATCAATCAATCAATCAATCAATCAACGGTGTGAAGTGGAGTGGAAACGAAAGTTGTTGGGGAGTTCCCTGACAAGTGAAGGAGCCACGTGGCTATCAATGCAGCACTATCAAGGCGTTGTGCTAAGTCAATCAATCAATTAATCAATCAATCAATCAATCAATCAGTCATTCAATCTTGATCATGTCGTGGATACTAGGTGATTGATTCATATTAGTCAGTCAAGTCACTAGAAGGAAATGAAAGATCGCTTAGTCAGTTGGTCAATCAGTTAGTCAATCAAAGCAAATCTCAAATCATTCACACCAATCATGTGAATCACATCAATCAATCCATCAGTAAAAATCATTAAATCAATGAACCGATCAATCCGTCTATCTATCAATGAATCCATCTATCTATCAATGAATCCATCAGTCTATCAATCCATCAATCAAGCAATCAATCAATGAAGCAATCAGTTAATCAATCAATCAATCAATCAATCAATCAATCAATCCATCTATCTATCTATGAATCCATCTGTCTATCAATCCATCAATCCATCAATCAAGCAATCAAGCAATCAGTCAATCAATCAATCAATCAATCAATCAGTCAATCAATCAACCAATCCATCCATCCATCCATCCATCCATCCATCCATCAATTTCATGTAAATTTGTTTTCCTTGATGGGTGCAAATCCACTACGTCTTTGGTTCAGATGAACGAGATTAGTATTGCTTGTAGTAGCCTTGTTCGATACCCATCATGGTGATCGTCATGAAAATGATAATGATGATGGTGCTGATGATGGAACTGCTGATGATGATGACGATGATGATGATGATGATGGTGATGGTGATTCCGTGTGTAGGGATTCCACGTAGCGTGCCTCGTTTCCGTTTGAATCCGTTTGACTGCCTCTTTTCCGTTTGCCTCCGTTTGGTTTTCTGCCTCTTTTCTCAATGGTAGTTGGTGTGTGATCTCTTGGCTGGCGACGGGTGGTAAATGGTACCAATCGGCTCGATCGTAGGAAGACCAGATTCATTGTACAGGTCCTGAGAAATAGCCCGTTGCTGAGAGCAAGAAAACACGTGTAGTGTGCAGATGATGTGGTAGCTTGTGATGATGAAGTTGCTGGGGGGGAGAAGAAAGGAAGAAAAACGCGGGAATGTGATGTGGCTGACGAACGAGCTCGAGGCTCATAGTTCCCGCGCTTCTTCTTCTTCTTTCTTGGCGGGAAATGTAATGTCTTCTTGTTCTTATTTCTTGGCGGGAAATGTAATGTAATGTCTTCTTCTTTCTTGGCGGGAAATGTAATGTCTTNTTTCTTGGCGGGAAATGTAATGTAATGTCTTCTTCTTTCTTGGCGGGAAATGTAATGTCTTCTTCTTCTTCTTTCTTGGCGGGAAATGTAATGTAATGTCTTCTTCTTCTTTCTTGGCGGGAAATGTAATGTCTTCTTCTTCTTTCTTGGCGGGAAATGTAATGTAATGCTCGCACTTGGTCATCACCTTTCCCGCGTTTATTCTTTTTCTTCTTTTTTTGGCTTCCCGTTGACACATCTGCTTCAAACAATCTATAGCCAGGTGCGTTTGCTCAATGGGAGGAGGATGACCAGATACGGTGTACAATCCCTGACATATCGTGATCGCTGTGCAAACTTGCATGCAGAGACAGTACCCACAGAACAAGCGAGAAACGGTGCAATTTCCGATTCATTGATTAACCAGATCCATTGTACGATTCCTGACAGATCTGGACCAGATCCATTGTACGATTCCTGACAGATCTGGAATCGGTAACACCGAGGACAAGATAATAGGCAAATGATTAAAGGGGAAGCGATAGGGGCTTGTTTCTTTCTTCTTTTTTTTTGTTTTTCTATTTTTTTCCTGTGATAAGTGCCTTTTTGAAAAACAAGCAGAAGGGCAAAAAAATGGGCTGGCGGGAAAAAAAGACAGAAGAGGTAGAATCTGTGTGTGTGTATGTGTGTGTGTGTGTGTGTGTGTGTGTGTG